CAGAAATTTTCCAAACAGTTTTATGTTTAGGTATATTCACTCGCATGAAGTGCGTGACTTAATTACGAACCTAACAACTGATAAGTCATGTATAGAAGCCCCTGCAAAGTGCTTTAAGGTGGCCGGAGATCACATCTATGAGGCAATGACTAAAGTTTATCATCTTTCCATAGAGCAAGGTATTGTGCCTGACATTCTCAAAATTTCCAAAGTAACTCCGGTGGACAAAGATGGTGATATCACTGACCCGACTAACTTTCGCCCTATCTCAGTACTTTCTATATTTGCACAGATTTTTGAAAAACTGGTATGTAAACAGTTAACAAGCTATGTTGAAAAGTATGCCATTTTAAGTCAATACCAGTTCGGCTTCAGGAAGGGCAGATCGACTGAACAAGCCATTCTAGAAATCACTGACAATTTGAAACAAGCAATAGATAATAACTTACTCACATGCGGAATCTTTCTCGACTTCGCTAAGGCCTTTGATACTGTCAACCATGCTATACTTTTAAATAAATTAGAGAAATACGGTGTTCGGGGAATCCCATTGAGTTGGTTTACTAGTTATCTTACCAATAGACAGCAATATGTTAGCATTGACGGTGTGGAATCTTCTAAACAAACTATTAAATGTGGCTGATCCCGCAAGGCAGTTCTCTTGGTCCCCTCCTTTTTCTACTATACATTAATGATATCCCTTACTGCTCCGATAAATTGTCCTTTAGAATATTTGCAGATGATACCAATATTTTTGTGTCTTCCTCAAATGCCGTGGAATTACAAAACTTAATTAACCATGAATTATCCAAAGTTAAAGAATGGTGTGACTTAAACAAGCTATCCATCAACTTAAAGAAGACTAATTATATGATAATTAAGTCACCTAAAAAGAAGACAAATATAACATGGGATGTAAAATAAACTAACAATGATGGCTCCACCTACGGCTTAGAAAAGAGAAATTACATAAAATATTTGGGCGTACTTATAGATGACACGCTATCATGGAAACATCAGGTGTCTTATTTATGTACTCGAATTTCTAGAAACACAGGAATTGTTGGCAAACTCAGACACTGCACCTCTCTTTTGCAACTTAAACAACAATACTATAACCTGATCTATCCTTATATATCTTATGCGATAACCTCCTGGGGCAGTGCATTTACTACTCAAATTAAAAAAATCCAAACAAAACAAAATCATGTTATCCGCCTTATGTTCTTTGCCACCTTGTTTGGACCAGATACAGACAGTGCATTACCATTACTTAATTTACTGGATTTACTTACTGTTACAAATATCTATAAACTACAGCTTCTTAACTTCACTCACCAGTGGCATTCTAAAAAATTACCAAATATCTGTAATCAGCATTTTCGCTATGCAAGTGAAGTCCATACATATAATACGAGATATGCTTCAAAAAGTAACTTCTACAAACCACGTTCAAGGACCAATATAGGAAAGCAAACAACAGCGGCTATGGCGACCGAATTGTGGCAACAGCTCCCTACCCATATAAAAGACCTTTCAACTTATAACTTTCCTAAAACATTAAAAGAATACTTGTTGGCCGAACAATTAACTTACTGAAATTATTTTATTTTAAGTAATGGTCCAGATAAGAAGGAAAGGACCAAAACGCAGTGAACACGTTGGAATGCAAAAAGGTGCTAACTTTACTATTGTCTCTACTAAGGTTCTTATTGGTTTAAATATCAAATTTACGAAATCTTCGCAAAGCAGCATGTACATTAATCCCTTTTTTTCTATCCAACTTCCTTATAACAAAATCTCGTCTGAGTCTAAGTAACACAGAAATCGTATGTGCGGATCATGTAAAATTGTGAACATTTCTTGGCCATTGTTTGCAACTCTTGTGATTGGTCGAAATGTTTTAACACAAAAATACAACCTTTAAAAGTGGAGTTTAAATACATTTTCTTTCGTAAACAGCCTTTTTGTAGATTTATGCACTCTCTGCGTGAAAATGAAAACATTTCTATGTGAGGAAAGCGTATTGCGCCACAACAAAACAAATTGCTTCCCTTCTTACCTGGATCATTACTTAATCATATCGTCATGTACTATGATGACTGTTTTCTCTTCTTTTTTTGCCATCTATGTGCTTTCTTCTTTTTTTTATGGTGTTTGTATGTCTTAAGATGTTTTGTATGTCTAGTTATTGTGATGTCCTGTACATTCGACACTACTTTCAAAGAACTAGTTGCTATCTCGAAAACCTTACGGTTATCTAGCCCGTAGGCATTTCCTTCTATGTAATAATATTTAGTTTAAATTGTAATTGAATATTCTACGTGTTAAGTTACTAATTATTCAATAAGTTTGACAAACCCTGTAATGGAAACGTGAATAAAGTGTTGTTGTTGTTGTTGTTGTTAGTACATTTCTTTGACGTCCACCGCGCGACTACGTCGTGAAACCTCCCAATGCGACGTTTTATGGAGAAAATGGACAGACTACGACAAATTACCCCTTATCTATTTGAACATGGATAAAGTCGTTAAGAATTCAACTCTAGGAAAAGTCGCCTACATTTGACGACATGAGCGGTTTCAAATAGACGCGATAAAGTTTGAAAGGACCCAAATTCATTTTTGTTAGTGTTGTTTTCACCACGAATGTCTAGCACTGGCCACAAGATCCCTACTTTCCTTTTTCATTCTTAGTTCTACACTCACTGAGGTGTGGAAGTGTGAAATAGTCTGACAGAGTCAGGATATTGTCGCACTTTCCCCCAAGTCACGAATCCCGTGACATTCTTTGCTTAGTTACACTCCTGTGTATGAAATGAGAATAAAGCGCAGTGGGAGTATTAGTTGGTTTTATTTCTGCAACTCGTTTTACATCTTTTTAAATGCTATTTTTACGTTTAGATAACAATTCTGTGACTAGAAGATATTAGCCTTGTTTCACTGCCATCTGTTTGAATACCCCACCATAAAACAAGCCTACGTTTTCTCTGTCAAGAAGTCCCCGTCTGTCCTTTATCTTCATTTATTTATTTATTTTTTTAACTGAAACCTCAACAACGTCATCTCATCTATGGATTTTTATGTTTCAAGTTTTTCATCTTAATGAGCCCGTATATGAAGCGTCTTATTCTGGGTTTTTCTCTTTCCTATAGACCTATTCGGCTGACTCAATGTTGTACCCAATTCAAACCCTTTGGGAATAACACGTTTTGTTTCAGGAATTTCCATATCATTTAAATGTGAATGCCACATTATAAGGCAAATACCTACAGATTGACACAAAGGTTTGCGAGCAGACCTTCTCTTGGCTGTCAAGATATGCAAAAATAACAAGGAAAATGAACAGAGGACACTTTGTCTTTTTCATAATTTATGTTCAGCATTTACATAATCTTAGAGAAGAGGAAAAACTACGAAACAATGGATATATGGCTTGATCTAACTACGATCAAAGTTGAAGCATACTGATAAGGATAAAGATTGATTCAAAGGGAGGTCGGGTTTCTTAACTTTTAGTTTCTTTCAACAGCCGGCATTGAAACAATGGTTATATCTTCTATTAAAAAAAAAATAGTTCTTAAGGAAAAACGTAAAAAACGATACAGAAGTAAAACCAGGTGCTCATAAAGCGCACTGAGCTTCTCGTGACTCAGGGAAAGTGCGACATTAAACTCAACTTGTCAGACGATTCCATACTTCCACACCTCTGAGAAGTGTGGAACTAAGTAAAGAATGACAAGCGGTTCATTACCGGGGAAAAGTGCGACAATATCCTTACTTTGTCAGACTATTCCACACTTCCACACCTCTAAGAGGTGTGGAACTAAGTAAGGAGTGACAAGGAATCCATGACTGGGGGAAACTGCGACAATATCCTTACTTTGTCAGACTATTCCACAATTCCACACCTCTGAGAAGTGTGGAACTAAGTAAGGAGTGACAAGGAATCCATGACTGGGAGAAACTGCGCCAATATTCTTACTTTGTCAGACTATTCCACACTTCCACATCTCTAAGAAGTGCAGAACTAAGTAAAGAATGACAAGGAGTTCATGACTGGGGGGAAACTGCGACAATATCCCCACTTTTTCAGACTATTCCACACTTCCACACCTCTGAGAAGTGTGGAACTAAGTAAGGAGTGACAAGGAATCCATGACTGGGGGAAACTGCGACAATATTCTTACTTTGTCAGACTATTCCACACTTCCACATCTCTAAGAAGTGTAGAACTAAGTAAAGAATGACAAGGAGTTCATGACTGGGGGAAACTGCAACAATATCCCCACTTTGTCAGACTATTCTACACTTCCACACCTCTGAGAAGTGTGGAACTAAGTAAGGAGTGAAGAATTTCATGGCCAGTGCTGGACATGGCTACCGCGAAACACTCACATTAGTTCCGTAAATCAAGCAAATTGTGAGAAGCTATGGACAACCATCTGTGTTTTCTGAATTTCCATGGCACATGTGAATGCATATTTTCCTACCACAAGACCGTAAAGCAATAAAAAAAAACAGCAAAATCTTCTCTCCTCTGACGGAGGATCATTTAGATCAAATGCTTGAGTCCTACATGTACAGCCACGCAAGGAATAAGCGCTTTTAACTTCCGGTGATTCCAATAGCCAATCAGATCCTGTGGCATTGTTCTAACAGCCAATCAGCGTTGCGGTCAAAATCCGGCCGCTGTAGCACAAGCTTGTGAGACTTTGTATCCGGCCCAATTTTAGCGAGACCACGTAAGAGAGAATGTATGAGAATTGCTAAAATTGAGCCTGATCTCAGGTTACATTCACAGTCAAAGCTACAACAAGAGCCTTTGACCATGAAAGATCAGATTTTGGCTACATCAGGAATTCAGTTTATGTAACCAGCTCTCTGTTTATAATTAAAGCAAGGAACCATTAGAAAATAGCCTATTGAGGCATTTTGGCCTAAAAGCCATTAAAATAGAATAATCAAGGGATTATGGGCTCCTGTCAAGGGTAATTGTACTTACAAATCAGTGTCGTCCACAGGATTTCCCGCGTTTCTACCTACTCCACACCAGCAACCGTAAGTGTAAAGACGAAGGGCATCCGCTGCAGTAAGTCCGAGGTCTTCCCTTGCCAAGGTTAGCAGCACACTTTGTCTAGAACCAGCAATGGACTTTTTCGCTACTTTATCTAACAAATACAATTTTAACAATAACGTGTCGTTATTTTTCCGCTCCCGTCTGATTTTCACTTTGTTTAGAACGTAAAATTTACCAGTGGTGACAGTACAAGGCACTATATATGCTCTACTGAGATTTTTATTCGTGCGCTATTTTTTTCTTTTTTTTTTTTACTTTTCAAGAGTTCACATTGTTTATAGAGGACACTAGAAAGATCTTATTTAGGAATACTTTACTGTTTGAGCTTGTGTGTCTGTGTGTGTGATGCTGGGGGGAGGGGTAATTGGTGAGTGGGATGGGCGGCGGCGAGGCATTGATCAATAGTGTGGACGTGAGTTTTAAAAAGCGGTCTGCTAAAGCTAGGGTAGTTGTCACCGAAAAATATTAATACAGCCACAAAAGCATGTAACGTTTGCAGTCCGGCTTTGCAAGATGTGCCACGAATTTTCACAAGCAGCGTATTATCGCAAATATCCATTTTAATGCAGTGTATTAGCATATTAGCGTCATTTTATACTTGTGGGAAAGCGGGAATAGTGGGAACTGTATTACCTCCTTTCCGAATGGTTTTGTGTAGATGATCAGTTGTCGCCCAACCTTTAAAAAAATTTCAGATATTCATTAACCCATTCATAAACTAAAAGAGAAAAGAAAAACAATAAATAAGACTATGATTAAACTCGGATTATTTTGTCTTTTTTGAGTCTGCGTCTTGAGAGTCTTTCTATCAAGGAAGGACTAGCAGTGTTGCTACCCGACTAATTGAGAAAGAATAATTTGTAATACCTTGCTGTAAAATTGAATTTGATGTTTCCTATAAATTTTTGATTCATTATTATTATGGTGACGAGTGAAATTAGGGAATAATTTCACGCACGTTTAGTGAGATTATTAAATAGTAGTAATAATTGATGAACATGCAATATTTAATATCTTTTCTCTAAATCGAAATCTAGCGTCCTAAAAAGTCATCTTTCGATGTCGATAATAATAATAATAATAATAATAATAATAATGATGATGATGATGATAAGCAAAGTTTCCGAAGCTATTTAAAAAAACGCAGATTACCAGAACTCGATATCATCAGAAGCGTCGTCCATCCAAAAAGTAAAGCCAATGTGGTATTCATCTCTGTCCTGTGTAAGAAAAAAATTGTTTGCAAGTAGCTGACATTGAAATGAAATTTGTCAGGGCATAGTATTTGATAAAATGAATATTATCAAGGCAATAACAAAAAGGACAATTCTGCGCAATCTTAGATAATTAGAACTAGAAAATCAGCTGGCTGCGTATCATTCATGCAGATATGAACAGATTGATGTAGGTTATGCTATTCGAAATTCCACTCTTTTCCTTTGGCTTGAACTTTTTTGTTTACCGTTGGCATAGTAACGTCGATTTTCGCAAAACCTTTTCAGACAACATTCCAAAATCAGTTAGTGGTAAAGAGTTGGTTTCGACAAGACATAAGAAAGGCTTCCTCTTAGGCAATTTTAAAAACCGGCACGGTCTTCCGAAAACTGATATTAAAGCATCTTAACGGTGAGCGGATTAGAATTGTTGATATAAATTGTGCATTTACTCAACAATGTCTAATGTCTTCATACTACTCTGTTATTATACCTATTTTTTTTTTAACAAAGCAAATTACCAGCCTTTAGGCCTTAAAGCAGAGATTATGCATTTCAGTTCCGTTGAGGACGATCAGTTTCCCGGTGGTTTTGTTTTCAAAACTATGTTATAATTTTGCTAAAAAATTTATATGATGTTTTGTGATTATGAATTAACTCTGACGATACGATTAAGTATTTCTAATCAAAATATTCTTGAGAAGCCTCACTTCGTTACATGTACCTGAAACCGGCTCAGCTTTTCTAGAGTCTAGAGAGTCCATTGCCATGCATTAACATAATCATGAAACTGTTGCCAAAATTTTCCGTTGTTGTTCGTCTTTGAACTTTTTTGCCAGAGACCAAAATTTTCGTTTGTCGTTTACATTCGAGGTGCATTTCATTCAGGACCTTATATTGGGTTAGGAATACAAAGCGTAGTGCAAAATACTCGTTCATTTGGCTTGCTCTTCGAATTCCGGGGTGTACGTGATTCCGGAGTAATCGAAACAAGTTGCTTGAAGGAACAGAATGCTTGGAACGAAGAGAAATTATACAGTAAAAAAAATGTGACGGCATAAAAATTCTGATTTGTGAATAACTGGTTGAATATCTAGAAAAAGCAAGAGGGAAAAAGTTACTTTACCAAGGATCGGCCTGTTACTGCAAATTGCTTGGAAGATATAAGCACCGCTAAGCAGGAATGGCTCCAAATCAACTCCCACTCGACAAGATCGGCGTCCTTTTTCAACTAAGCTAACTGGGCGGTTAAATATAACCATGAGTCTATTATACAGTTTGTCCAAGAGAGGATAAATGGGACAGAGAAGGCATCCCCCATACACACCCTATTCCATAGGTAATTCGTCTCGAGTTATTTTTAGAATCGGGATAAAGTTACCTCGCGCGCTGCGTGGATGTTTCGTGGAGGTTTCGCATGACTTAACGCCGTGCAAAACATGTCAGGCGAAAGGCAATGAGAGCGTAAAGAGATCGAGAGCATTCCTGAATATTGAAGCGAAATGAGTCGGTGCTCACTTGGGAAAAGGGAATCGCTGGACTCTTTGACAACCCGTGAAATCAGTTTATCAGTTTTTTTGTACAATAAAGCAAGTAGGACGCCAAGTGTTATTTTTGTTGAATAATAAAAGACCAAATATCAAACCAGGAATTGCTCTCTCAAACTGTAAATTATAAATGATCCTGAGAGAATTTCCGTTTCACTGACACATCTTTAGCAGAAATCTCTCTGTAGTCGTTTTCGTCGACAAAACTAATAGCAATATCGCTCTCCGCGTCTTCCGCTATTTTGTTCTGCGTCAATTCGTGAAGGACGCGTGGCTCTGAGCGTGGGTCAACCACGCGGAACACATTCGCGCTATGTGATTGGTTGTTGTCTAATCCCCCTTGGGATCTGTGGTCTTAAAAATAACTCGAGACGAATTACTTATGGATTAGGGTGTGTATGGGGGATGCCTTCTCTGTCCCCTTTATCCTCTCTTGGTTTGTCTTACTTTAATTGGAACCGCTCCCAGCCACCCACCCACCCATTTGGCACCTGTCGAACCCCCTTCCCCCCACGTGTTTCTCAGCAAGGTGACCTTCTAGAACTGAAATGAATGATAAAAAGTATGCAAGAAGGATTATGAACGAATTTATCCCGTGCATGAAACTTTAACTAACTAAATACTAAGATGTCAGGGGAGGGTGTCAAATTCAGGTCTTACTATACTGAAACAATAAAAAGATAATAGAGATGAGAATTTCATTAAAATCGATTTTTTAAAGCAGTCATTTAATTTACCAGACCTTCCCCTCTTTCACTTGACAAGAGCGGACCCTAAGGCGGTTTCTTGTGTCGTAATGGATTTGCAATAAAGATCAAGCCGTTTAAGTATAAGAGGTTCAAAGAACGAAGGTGCTCCTCAAAAACACTTAGTCGAGCCACCTTAAATATTATAAATTACACAATAACATGTATTTTGTGTTCAGACCGGAATGTGCTGAGTCAAACGCACCGTCAAGTTCTCAGTGCGATTTGGCAAAATAAGCTTTATTTCTATGAGTTGATACGGGCTTAATATGTATGTGGTGTACTGTGTGCGTTTTTACAGCGACGAACGCTATGGACAGAGAGATTTGACATAATTTTTTTAATTATATTACTTTACCAAGATTATAAAAGAGGTCACACAATAGATTTTTGGAAACTTGGTCTCCGTGAGTATATCCTGTTAACTTAAACGAACCTTGAAATAATTCCACTTATTGGGCTCGGACTTGTTTTATTGTGAATATACCTGCTGCACTTGCGCGCAGTTCTAAGAAAGTATTTACTTTAATTTTTTTAAAATCTCAGTATTTTTCACTTTACCTTAACAATTCTAAAAACAGAATGTAGTTTATTTTTTACGTTGTTTGATCTTGATTAGTTAATTTTATATTTCAATTGTCTGGTTCGCGTGCTTTTCACATTACAAGTCAAATTAATTCCCAGTTCAAATATTAAGTTTTAGACAAAAGGTGTAATTTATCTTTGATATTTTCGTAAAAAGAATTTGCTAACCTTCTCAGTACACTGTTTCTATACAGCGAATTGCGAAGGTTGTACCTGAATTGTCATCAAATTTCTTTGAATTTCTTGAGGTCGGTCTTGTTCCCTCCGGCAGATCCGGTTTGGGGTATTTTTCTTTAATTTATAGTTTGCAAACTGTACGCAATTGTTGTATTCAAAGTAAAAGTCAATCCTAACATATGGCCATTATGTTCCGAAGAGGTTTGCTCCAAAGCAAATACAGCCCGAATATTTCTGCTGCAAATTTCTTATTAGCCAATTGCAAGGCAGCATTGCAAAAAAATGCATTTTGTAGTTTACTGTAACTTGTATTTTGACCACGCTGATAGAAACTGAGTTTTCACGGCGAGAAACAGCGGTGACTTTAATGCTGAAGAACAGACTTCAAAATTAACAGAAATTGATCATTATTAGAAAGAGGGGAAAACAAGGCATGATTGCGTTTTAAACCATCCTTGTTCCCTTTAAGTGGATGAAACATGTAATATGTGCACCATTTGCTAGGAATACGAATACCCTTTGAAAAAGAACAGAGCTTAACAAAAGAAAACCATATCAAATCATGACACAACATTCACTCAAAAACTCACAGACTGACCTTGAACTGCTTTCAGTTGGTTGGTTTCCTCCTGTGTTTCTCTCGTTGGGTGAAGTGTTTCCTCGAGGGTACCTCGGCTCTTATATACACCCTTCATGCCAGTTCACAAAATGAAAAAAAGTGTTTGCATTAAATTAAACAACGAAACCACCCAGATTGTAAAATTTTAATGATGTGCAGGGTGAAAAGATCTTTGAGGAACAAAAGTCAACCTGTAACACATGGAAACTAACAATATTTTTAGTTCCCGTATGTAATATATTATATTGTTTTTCATTATTACCATGTATTCATTTTAGAGCAAGCCAAATTTTTTTTGTCGCTTTTTTTTACGCGCAAAAACGGAACGGTTCCAAAAGCTAACCGACGTAGTCTGGGCTGGTTGTGTGACGCTTTTCTAACTCTGAAATTTAAGTCACCATGGCCCAATTATTTATTTATGCAAACAAAGAAGAAAAGGCGTCTTTTCAAGATAATTTGTCGACATTTTTTAAAAAGACAGATCACGATTGCATAGTGCAAAAGACATGTTCGTTTACAGAAAAAATATATATATATTTATCTCCCATTTACCCTCACCGAAACCCGCTGGCTATAAGTCAGACATCGTGAAAAGGAAGAAACCAACAAGCATGCTGTGCGACCTTTGTGTAAAGAAACCTATTGTTAGTTAATTATTGTGTCTTCGCGTGGTGATTGTTCCTTGTCTTTTCAATCTTTTGTGTGGTGTCATGTGGTAATTGGACAATTAATAATACGCAGCCCAGTAAGAAACTTCCAAGTCACGAGTCAACAAATGAATTTATGCACCCAAAGGAGTGTCATGAACTTTGTATACCTCTTTCCAAGATTAAAATTTCTTACCAGTCAACGACTTATGAACCCAATTTTGTGCCGTTAACTTCTACATCTTTTTTTTAATCTTCTTTGAATCATTTGTAAATATATCTGCCGTCAATGGAGATGTTTTAGTTATCTGTTAGCTTTCTCTTTGTTTCTATTGTCTATCTGTATCTAAAGAGAGTGTCAAAGTGTACAAAGCCTGTATTGGACACACTTTAATTTAAAGAACATAAAAGAAAGATGTGAAAAAATTGAAAATGAAATCCTTGAGTAGTACGGCAAGAACCAGCAGGAACGTGGTGATCCTCCTATATTTTTAATAATGTTGCTACTCGCTGTGTCGATATTGTATTTTATTCAGAATAAAACTTTGTTTTTATCCGAATCAGAGGAAACACGAGAATAACGAATCCAAAAACCTAGATTGAGATTTCATTAGACAAGCAGATTCTTGAGATTTATAGTCCATTTTATACTCTTAGAGAAGCGAAAAATCCACGTTT